CTATTGTACTTAAAGTCTCAGACTATGTGCTTTTGTAGATACGTCCTGAAGGCAAAAAACAGCACGCCTAACTACAATTTTCCGGCTTGTCTTTCACTGCCGGGAAGCTAGGACTTAATCCCTGACTTGTTATAATCCCCAGTATGATGTGGTCTACTGCTGCAGATGATACGCACCTATTATGCATTTCAGGCTGCCTCGTTGTTAATTCAAGTATGTATCGAGTCTATCGTTAAGCCCTGAGCTTCTTTGTTCATATGTTTTCTATTTGTATCACTTTTTGCGACGGGACAGCTCACAAGGCCACTACATGTGATTTGTATATTAAAAAAGGGTATCGCTGACATGACCAATGAGGGCTTTTTCATATGACGACAGGCCTTTTTATCGAATTCGACAGTTTCCTGTCAGCTAGCTTCTTCAAAAAACCTTTGTTGCCTGTACTGGATACATGGCTGCCTTAAGCACCACTTTATTCGCCTTAAAACTTTGTCACTTACTGATGTAAGATGCTTACATGAAGAGGTAAAGGACATCGTTTAGAGAAACAGGTAATGACTTTAACAATTTTTACTGTTGTATTTAACTCCTTCAATATTTATCCAGCACAGTGCGGCACAAAACAGCGCACAGAGGGCTAATGAAGCAACTTCGGTACCCTCAACTTTCTAAAAAAATTTCAGGCAAACAGATATTTTTTTGCTGCCGAGGGGGCGATCTAACTGGACGAAAGTAGCAAACCGGACATACTACAGTACGGCTCCGAATTCGTGCAACATGCCCACATTTGCGAACGATCGATACTCACTCGCTAATCAGCATTCAGTACGTTTATAATGCTGATTATCGTATAGCCTATTTTCAAGTCATTTCAGTCACAATAAGACGCCGGCTTTTTAACGAGCTTCCTTCTGACCGCTAACAGAAAGCATGTGCTGCAAAATATGGCTACTTAAGTACTATGCATTTTTATCATTGATTTTGACTACTTTTTATAAATTCAAATATCTTTTATCGAAAATATGGACGAAAACATTATTTCTT